TAGAATAGAATAGAATAGAATAGAATAGAATAGAATAGAATAGAATAATAGAATAGAATAAGGAATGGAATCCAATGGAATGGAATGGAATGGAATGGAATAGAATAGAATAGAATAGAATGCAGAATAATTAGAAATAGAATAGAATGCAGAATGGAAAGGAATAGGAATAGGGCAGAGCTGGAAGGGACCTTGGAGGTCTTCTAGTCCAGCCCCCTGCTCAAGCAGGAGAACCTACAGCATCTCGCACAAATGACTGTCCAGTCTCTTCTTAAAAACCTCCAGTGGTGGAATGCCCACGATTTCTGGTGGCAAGCTGTTCCCCTGGTTAATTGTCCTCACTAATAGGAAGTTTCTCCTTAGTTCCAGGTTGCTTCTCTCCCTGATTAGTTTCCAACCATTATTTCTTCTGCCTTCAGGGGCTTTGGAGAAGAGGTTGACCCCCTCCTCTTCTGTGGAGCAGCCCCTCAAATACTGGAACACTGCTATCATGTCACCCCTAATTCTTCTTTTCCTCAGACTAGTCAGACCCCAAAACCCACAGCCGTTCTTCATATGATTTATTCTCCAGGAGACTACAAGACCTCCAAGGTCCCTTCTGGCCCTAGGATTCTATGATTCCGTGCCGCAGTATTATATCTTCCCCCCTCCTTTATCCCTTAACCTCAAGTCTTCCCAGAGAAGGTTGTCCTTCCTTCCTTAACTGTTCATACACTTTTCGAGTGTACAAGAGTGGCTCCGAAGGTCCAGTGTTGCTCCTTCTTCACGGTGGAGGCCATTCCGCTCTCTCCTGGGCCGTCTTCACCGTAAGTCCCCTGTTTCTTTGTTTCTTGATCAGAAAATAATAATAAGAATAAGAAGAATAAGAAGAAGAAGAAGAAGAAGAAGAAGAAGAAGAAGAAGAAGAAGAAGAAGAAGAAGAAGAAGTAGTAGTAGTAGTAGTAGTAGTAGTAGTAGTAGTAGTAGTATTTAAAGTAATTAAGGGTAACAGTGATACCCATTGTCATCGGGGCACTTGGTACCATGTCCAAGAATTTTATAAAATACATCAACAAATTGCAGCTTCCTGCAATAACGCCAGTGGAACTGCAAAAGACTGCGCCACTCAGAACTTCGTACATCTTAAGAAGATACTTGGTTGATACCTAGGACGCTGGCAGCAACCCGTATCAACCATCAGTGCCAGTTACTCATATTTTTGACACATTTTTAAATGTTCAGCTGACTGAGTTTCATGTTTAATGAATAAAACATAACAACAACAACAACAACAACAACAACAACTATTATTATTATTATTATTATTATTATTATTATTATTATTATTATTGATGTACATGGATGATTTGAAGCTGTTTGGTAAAACAAAAGCTGAACTGAATTTATTAATTGAAAACACAAAAGAATTCAGCCAAGACATCGGTATGCAGTTTGGAATTGACAAATGTGCAACAATAGCAACCAAAGCAGGCAAGATCAAAGAAGAGGATGGAATAGAACTAGAGAATGAAGAAATGATAAAGGCAGTAAAATCAGAAGAAGGCTATACAAGTACTTGGGGATTTTAGAAGCCTCTGACTTAATGCATAATAAAGTCAAGGAATTAACTTCAGCCAAGTACATTCGGCGAATTCGTAAGATATTAATGTCCAAATTGAGTGGAGGAAACATCATAAAAGCCATAAATACCTGGGCTATACCTGTGATTAGATACTCTGCAGGAATAATTGACTGGACCCAGATGGAGTTAGACTATTTGGACAGAAAAACAAGGAAGCTTATGACAATGAATCATGCCTTGCACCCTAAAAGTGATGTTGACCGATTATATTTACCAAGAGCAGAGGGTGGTCGAGGACTCCTACAAGTAAAGCAGACTGTGGAAGAAGAAAAACGCAGCTTGAATGATTACATCCAGAAAAGTGAAGAACCAATGATTAAGGAAGTAAATAAAGGAGGCCTTTTAAAGACAACTAAAACAAAAGCAGAATATAAGAAAAAAATAATTGAGCAGCGAGCTGAAAATTGGAAACACAAAGCTCTGCATGGCCAATACTTGAAAAGTATTGAAGGCAAAGCTGACCAGAAACTAACTTGGAACTGGTTAAGATCAGGAGTACTGAAAAAAGAAACAGAAAGCTTTATTTTGGCAGCTCAAGAACAAGCCCTAGCCACAAACTGCATGAAGGCAAAAATTCAACATGTTACCACCAACAGCAAATGCCGCCTCTGCAATGAGAAAGATGAGACAGTCGACCACCTGATCAGTGGGTGCAGCAAAATTTCACAAACTGACTACCTACAACGCCATGACCGCGTTGCTAAGATCATTCACTGGAAATTGTGCCAGAAGTTTGGATTTGAGTACAGCAAAAACCACTGGGAACATCAGGTGGAGAAAGTTTTAGAGAATGAGAAACTCAAGATCTTGTGGGACTTTAGGATTCAGACTGACAGGCACTTGGTCCACAACACACCTGACATAACAAGAGTTGAAAAGAAAAAAGTATGGTTCATTGACATTGCAATACCTGGTGATGCACGGATTGAAGATAAGCAGCAAGAAAAAAACCACAAAGTACCGGGACTTGCAAATTGAAGTTGAGCGACTGTGGAAAAAGAAATCGTGTGTTGTCCCGATTGTAATTGGAGCCCTCGGAGCAATACCCAAAGGGCTACCCCGCTATTTAGAAATTCTAAATTTGCCGGACTTGAACATTTTGACTCTACAAAAAACCACCTTACTCGGAACAGCTTACATCCTCCGACGATACTAACAGTTCCTAGGTCCTTGGTTAGGACTCGAGCTGCTGAGCTGTTAACCAGCCTCAAAGGCTGTGAATCTCACCAAAGATTAAATAATAATAATAATAATAATAATAATAATAATAATAATAATAATACATATTCTTAATTCAGATGAATGCTTGCTTTAAAACCACCCCTCTACCCCACAAAGTGACTCTGGGCATGTTGCTCTACAGGCAGTCCTCGACTGAACGACCACAATTGAGCTCAGCGTTTCTTTCGTCAAGCGAGACGTTCATTAAGTGAGCTTTGCTCCCATTTTAGGACCCGCCACCATTGTTGAATGAATCACAGCGGTGATTAAATGAGTGACAAAAGTTGCTAACTGAATCCCTGCCGTTGTTAAGATAAGACGTTAAGTGGTCGTTAAGCGAATCTGGCTTCCTCCATTGAATTTGCTTGTCCAGAAAGGGATCGCGTGACCCCGGGATGCTGCGAATGTCATAAATATGAGTCAAAGTTGCCAAGCGTCCGAATTTTGACCCCGTGACCAACCGCGGGGGATGCTTCAACCGTTGTAGGTGCAAAAAACGGCCGTAAGTCACTTTTTTCAGTGACGTCGTAAGTTCGAATGGTCACTCAATGAACTGTCGTAAGTCGAGAACTGCCTGTACTCTGCCTTGTGGCATCTCGTTGACCAGGGGCACTTTCATTGGTTTGCAACCCCTCCCCAGCTGTCGTTTTTATTTTTGCAGGAAAAGCTCCTTTTTGTGTTGTTCGTTTTTTTGGTCACGCGCTCTTCCCAACAAAACCCTATTTTTAAAACGGCCTCTCAGCAGAAATGTCTCTTCATGGTGTCTGTGCCCAAATTAACACATTTGTATAAAAAGTGTGAAGTGGCAGGGATATATCATCAGGGTGTCATCGGCGGTGGGCATTGGCAAAGCTTCGTGCCCGGAGGGGGAGGGAATGGCCTGGGGGTGGGTGGGCATATGGAATACAGGTAGTCCTCGATTTACAACAACTCATTGAGTGACCGTTGCAGCGGCACTGAGAAAAATGAACATTTCTCACACTTACAACTGTTTCAGTATCCTCACGATCAGGTGATCCAAATTCAGACTCTTGCCCACCTGACTCATATTTATGACGGTCGCAGTGTCCCGGGGCGACCTTCTGACAAGCACAGTCACTGGGGAAGCCTGATTCACTTCACAACCGGGTTACTAATTTTATCAATGGCAGGGATTCACTTAACAACTGTGGCAAGGAAGGTCGTAAAATGGGACAGGACTAACAAATGTCTCGCTTAGCTGCAGAAATTTTGTGCTCGATTGTGGACATAAGTCGAGGACTACCTGTACTGAGGATTGACTTAGAGCAGTATTTCTCAACCTTGGCAATTTGAAGATGGTGTTTGGACCCAGCTCCCAAAACACAACAAACCCTCTGTATTTAAATCAATGATTCCTTTATTCGGAGCGCCAGCAGCCCCGGCATAAAGTTTCCCTCTCACCGCAGGCTAACAAGTCTGTCCGGGAGGGAGATGAATAGTTGTCTGCCCCATCTATTCATCTGTGCCCCCTGCCTTTTATCTCCAGAGCCAGGGTGGGGCGTCGCTAGCAGCGGTGGCTCTTCCGTCCCGAGGACCGGCCCATAGATTTCCACTGCTCTCCTCTCCTCTGCCTTCTGCGCATCCACATATCAGGCACAGGACCCAGCTGTTCCTCCTCCTCCTCATCAGCCACCTCCAGACCTGGGGGCTGTTGACCCTCCATCTGACGGCTGACAGACGGCCCAGGCTCCGTCTCTCTCTCTCTCTCTCTGACGGCTCCATTCCCTCTTCCCCCTCGGAGCTCTCAGGGTGCCTTGATTCTGGCCCTGATTTCCACGCCCCCTCCTCTTCCTCCTTTGATTCGGCTGCTGGAGGGGCCAGCGGCCGACAGGCCACAACAAATGGATGGACTTCAACTCCCAGAATTCCCCAGCCACCAAAGCTTGCTGGGAAATTCTGGGAGTTGAAGTCCACCCATGTTCAACTTGCCAAGATCGAGAAGAATGGATGATTCTGGGGACTTTAACCTCTCTGATTTTACTCTAACTATTTGGGTCATCTTATCTTTTCTGCAGGCCGCCATCGTGAACCGTATCCAATGCAGGATCGTAGCTTTGGATTTAAGAGGACACGGTAAGCCGTTCCAAGCCCGAGACTTGATTCTTTTTGGGATTTTACAGGAAATCAGAGACGTTTTCTCGGCAGGAATGCAGGTAGTCCTTGACTTACAACAGTCCATTTAGTGACTGTTCAAAGTTACATTCTCAGCTTAGTCCAAATTAAGTCCAAAACAAATCCTTCATAAACAGTCCTTCGGCCTTATCACCAACCTTGGTCTAATTTGGCGCCCTGCCAAAGGCTTTTCTTGGCAAAAGTTTAGAAGCAAGAGACTCCAACAAGAAACAAATTTAGCAATGTTGCTTTCCTACAAAGAGCCCAAGAGCCTTTGCTGCTCTTTCAAGCCTTCTGGGAGGGGCCAAACATCTCCTGGCCTTACTCCCAAGTCGTCCCTTTTGCTTTAGCTGCTCTTGTCTTCTGGCAGCTCTACGCATGCATGCATTAGGAACAGGCTCCTCCTGTTCCTCCGCCTCTGGAGGCTCCGGAGTCCGCGCATCGCTCCCAGATGACCCTGGTCCCATCTCTGCCTCTGACGCAGAGTCCAGGCTTTCCCCAGACTCCAGGACTGGCCCATGTCCCCCCCCCCCCCGCCTCCTCACTGTCCGACTCCTCTGCCAGCTCCACGGGCTGCTGGCGGACCACAACAGGGGGAGAGGCCGGGCCTTGTATAGAGAGAGGGGAGACATTCTTTTTTTTTTTTTTTTAATTTAAAAAGTTTTACAAATACATTTTCCCCCCGGTTTCCCCCCCCCCTCCCTAACCCTTCCTCCCCCCATGACTTCCTCAAGATGAAATCCAAATCAAAATCACATTTTATAATACAATAACCCCTAACTATTCCACCCCCTGTGTGCTATTCATTTCTTCGTAAATAACATTCAGTTATTCTATCCCTATGTAATACATTCAGCTAAAAGCTATCTGATACTTCCTAGTTTGATATTTATTCTGCACATAATCTATCCACTTCTTCCACTCCCATGCATAAGTCTCTTGAGTCCGGTCTTTTAAGTATGCTGATATCTTCACCATTTCTGCAAAACTGGCCATCTTCAAAGTCCATTCTTGAATTGTAGGCACATCAACCCTTTTCCAATATTGACCAATCAATAACTTGGCTGCTGTCACCGTATACAATATCAATTTTGTTTCACCCACTGAAAAGCCCTTAACTATACCCAGTAAAAACAATTGAGGAGAAAATTGAATTTTTTTTCTTCAAAACATTTTGCATAACCCACCAAATTTTTATCCAAAAAGCCTTCGCTTTCTTGCAAGTCCACCATATATGATAATATGTAGCATCTAAACAATCACATCTCCAACATTTTGGTTGAACATTAGGATACACGCACGACAATTTCTTAGGATCTAAATGCCACCTATAGAACATTTTATAAAAATTTTCCCTCAAATCTCCCCAGAGAGGGGAGACATTCTTAATTCAGGTGAATGCTTCTTTTAATTTGACTTGGTTTCGTTGCAGGTGAGACCAAAGTGCGGAATCCTGAAGACCTCTCTGCGGAGACCATGTCCAAGTATGTGGCTCCCTAATTTGGGGGGGAGAGGAAGGGGGTGTTTTAAAGTTTTCAATCTGGGGTTCGGTTGTCAAGTTTGGATACTCCCATCCTAGGGGACCAGTGGGGTCCCTTGGCCAGTTGCTTGGCCACTGGGAGAACGAGCAAAATGGGTCTGGGGTCCCATCCAGCAGGATACGGCTTATGTTCTCCTGTTCTTACGTTCTCCTAGAGATGTTGGCAACGTGGTCGAAGTTATGTATGGCGACCTCTGCCCTCCCATTATGCTGATTGGACACAGCATGGGAGGGGCCATTGCTGTCCACACAGCAGCGTCCAACCTGGTGCCAAGCTTGTTGGGCCTCTGTATGATCGACGTGGTGGAAGGTAAGCCCACCAGAATGTTCTCCTCTGCATCAGCCTTTCCTAACCTTGCATTAGCCACGATGCATGTCAGTTTGTTTAACACCGGGTGTCCCTCTTGTCACTGGGTGCAGGGACGGCTATGGATGCCCTCAACAGCATGCAGAACTTCCTTCGGAGCCGCCCGAAGACGTTCAAATCTCTGGAAAACGCCATCGAATGGAGGTAACGTTAGAACCATGTCGGTCTGTTTGTGCTTCCCATCCCAATAAGCCAACTTTGTGCTGTGGATCTAGCCACTCAGAGTTGCTGCAAACCATGAACTGGGCGGCAAAAATAAAATCAACAATGGAATACAATTAACCAGTGGAATGGATTGGACAGCCGTTTGTCCAACACGGTATGGGGCCGTAATGGCGAACCTATGGCACACGTGCCACAGATGGCACGCAGAGCCATATCTGGGCACGTGAGCATTGCCCTCACTCAGCTCCAGCGCACATGTGGGCACTGGTCAGCTGATTTTCGGGCCTTCCGAGCCCGCTGGAAGTCAGGAAACAGGATGTTTCCGGCCTCCGGAGGGCCTCTTGGTGAGTGGGAAAGGCTGTTTTCGCCCTCCCCAGGCTCCTAGAAAGCCTCTGGAGCTTGGGGAGAGAGAAAAATGGGACTTCCGGTCCCACCAGAAGTCAGGAAACGGGCCGTTTCCGGCCTCCAGGTGGGTTGGGAAGGCTGTTTTCGCCCTGCCCAGGCTCCAAGAAAGTCTCTAGAGCCTGGGGAGGGTCTCCTGCTTGAGCAAGGGGTTGGACTAGAAGACCTCCAAGGTCCCTTCCAGCTCTGTGATTCTGTTAATTCTGTTACAAAGATAGCAAGTGCCAACTCTGCAAAGAAGCTGAAGAAACAGTGGACCACCTGGGCAGCTGCTGCATTGAAGATCGCCCAGATTGACTCCAAACAACGGCATCACAAAGTAGCAACAATGGTGCATCTGCAAGAAATATCACTTGCCTGCAAGCAAGAACTGGGGGAAGACCGTAAAACAGAGAAAGAAATAGAAAATGAAGAAGCTAAATTGCTCTGGGACTTTAGAATTTTAACAGATTCTACTCTGGAAAGAGTGCAGAGAAGAGCAAGAAAGATGATTAGGGGACGGGAGGCTAAAACATGCGATGAACGGTTGCAGGAACTGGGCCTGGCTAGTCTAGTGAAGAGAAGGACCAGGAAGGGGGTCCAGCTATTTGCCAAAGCGCCTGAAGGCCAGACAAGGAATAATGGATGGAAACTGACCAAGGAGAGATTCAACCTTAGAAATAAGGAGGAATTTCCTGACAGTGAGAACAATCAACCCATGGAAGAGAAGTTGCCTTCGCAAGTGGTGGGAGCTTCCATCACTGGAGGCTTTCAAGAAGAGACTGGACTGACATCTGTCAGAAAGGGTGTAGGCAGGGTCTCTTGCTTGGGCAGGGGGTTGGACTAGATGACCTCCAAGATCCCTTCCAACACTGTTAAATCTGACTCTGCTGCTAGATCTGCCGGCAGCTGACGGACCACAACGCTTCCATCCAACATCAACATCTTCCTTGGTCCTAGGTGTAGAAAAAAAATTCCAAGTCCAGTCTGAACATCTGGCTGACCGTGCGACGAATCAAAATAAACGATAATAAAAATAAAATTAGAGACAGGGAGTTCCATATCGGTTACTTTGCCTTTCTCTGAGAGGGGACAGGTGGGACTTAATTCAAAATTCAGCAAATCATCTTTGCTGTTAAAAAAAAAAAAAGAAGGAAAATTAAAATGGCACTTGGGGATTCCGTGTGGGTGACGACTTCTTGTGTGTTTTTTTTTTCCTAGTGTGAAGAGTGGGCAGATCCGAAATCTCGACTCCGCCAGGGTGTCCATGTTCGGCCAAGTCAAACAGTATGTCGACCTTTTTTTTAAACCTCCCTTCCCTGCCTTCTTACGTACATGAAAATCCTTGCATCTGGGCCCTTTTGATGGAGCTCAGGGTTTGCTTGCAAGCGTTTCATTACCTAACTGGGTACCATCATCAATGCAAGGGATGGTGGGATATGCTCTGTATATAGAACTAGCTGGAAACCTGTCCTTCACTACGAAACTATGTGCTCGGGCTTGATAAATTGACACTTGCAGCCTGAAACTTAATGTAGAATGTGTAGCTCCGTAGCGTCAGAGTGTGTTAATATAATGCAACTGGCAGTTGGAACAGAGTGGGAAGGAGAGTAGAAGGTCCTAGTCCGCAGCATCCATCGGTATTCATCTGGCTAGCATCCTGTCAGTGTGTGAGAGAGTTGAGGGGTGTTTGGAAACTCAAACAGTATTGGCTGTGTGAGCAAGAAGGAGACAGGAAGGAGGCTGGGCATGGCTTAAGCTCAACTGTTTTGCAGTAAAGCTGCTTGCTGCTGTGAAAGTAAAACTGAAAGCGAAACTCCTCTCCTCTGCTTGTGTTTTGCATTCAGAACAGATTTCTTTTCAGGTGAGGAGGGGGAGTAGAACTCCTTAGCATCAGAGCGTATTCATAATAATAAGAGGAAATACTAATGCTCTGATGGTCATTTCGAAAAATCCTTTCTTAGTGAGCACCTATAAGCCATGGGGAACATCCATGGCAAATTTCAAATTTGTAGGCTTTACGGTTCTGGAGATTTCATGATTACGGCGTGAGTGGTTTTCGCTTTTATATATATAGAATGGATTGCCCTGCCAGTGTTCGGTAGTTTTCTCCTTGGTAGTTCCTTGCTTAAGAGTATTGTTTTCTGCTTGATTGTTTGCAGGGTGTTAATCCCTGCTTATCTGGCTGCTGATTGTTGGAGAGGAAGTGTTATGGTCTGTTGTTTCCTTCTTGGCTTTTTTATTGACTACTTTGAATGGTGTGTACTCGACTTATGACCACAATTGACCTCCAAATTTCTGTTGCTAAGCGAGACATTTGTTAAGTGAGTTTCGCCCCATTTTACGACCTTTCTTGCCACAGTTGTTAAGTGAATTTGGCTTCCCCCATTGACTTTGCTTGTTGGAAGGTTGTGACCCCGAGACGCTGTGACCGTCATAATTATGAGTCAGCTGCCAAGGCCGTAAAGTGGGGCAAAACTGACTTAACAAATGTCCTCACTTAACCACAGAAATGTTGGGCTCCATTGCGGTCGTAAGTCGAGGACGTAAGCCTGGAAACACGGAGAAAGGGGCATGGCCATGAGCGAACCGTCCCAGGCATACGTTGACCTGGAGAATTGCTTCGGCGGGCAATTCCGAGATCCCGTCAACGTTCCTTTCGCTAGCCATAAAGATCTTTTTCCCGGAATTTTCTGGTGTTCTGAGCTTGCCAATCTGGAAGCTCTTCGTTTTCATCTCATTTTTCTTTACAAACTTTGCAAACTCAGGTGCGAAGAAGCCACGAGCCCCGGCGGCCCCCGAGCCATCGTGGAAGGGATTATAGAAGAGGAAGAAGAAGACGAGGAAGAGGAGGAGGGCGAAAACGGGCAGTCTCTCAACAAGAAGAAGAAAGACGACGACGTGGAGGTGAGAAACATTTTAAAGCCATTTTCTATTTGCCACAATCTGGTCTTTTGCGTCTGAAGGCTGCGCAAAATTTTCTGGAGCTGAGATGCTCCAGTGTTAGAAGCAGTGGTGGGATTCTGCCGGTTCGAGCAAACCGGTAGTTAAATTGTTGGCTGGATCCGCCCCTCCCCTTCCCGCCCCTTCCAGGAGTCCCCATCTGCCCCATTTTCACTCCCAGGAGGCTGCAGGGAGGCCTACTAGGCCCAAAACGGTGCACGGGGGTGGGCCGCGCGTCCCATCCCCCCCGTGCCCCGTTTTTGCTCCTAGGGGGGTGCAGGAGGCCAAGTGCTGCCTGTCACACACCCCTGGCCACGCCTACCCTGGCCACGCCCACCCAGTCGGTCATTCGGGCAGAGAACCGGTTGTTAAATTATTTGAATCCCACCACTGGTTAGAAGGCGTCATTCTGGCTATATGGGTAGTCCTTCGCATACAACCATTCATTTAGTGGCCGCTCGTAGTGGCAAGCGCTCTGAAAAAAGTGACTTACGGCCGTTTTTCACACTTAACGACCGTTGCAGCATCCCCAGGGTCACGTCGTCAAAATTCAGACACTCGGCAACTGGCATGGACTTATGACTGTTGCAGTGTCCCTGGTCCTGTGATCCTCTTGGCAACTTTCTGGGAAGCCATGGAGCCCCATATTTCTGTTGCTAAGTGAGGCAGTAGTTAAGTGAGTTTTGTTCGGTTTTACGACCATTCTTGCCACAGTTGTTAAATCAATCAGATGTTACGTCAGTAAGTGAATCTGACTTTGCTTGTCAGAAGGTCACCAAAGATCACATGATCCTGGGACACTGCAACCGTCATAAATACGAGTCAGCTGCCGAGCTCCTGAATTTTGACCACGGGGAGGCTGCAACGGTCATAAGTGTGAAAACCGATCATAAATTACTTTTTTTCACTCCTGTTGTAACTTGGAACACTCACTAAACAAACTGTTGTAAGTCAAGGACTAGTCTGCTAAAAACCACAACGAAGCCCCAACATTTCCATTGTTAAGTGAGATATTTGTTAACTGGATTTTGCCTTATTTGATGACCTTCCTTGCCACCGTTGTTAAGTGAATCATTGCCGTGGACGGGTTTGTAACTCAGTTGTTAAGTGAAATCTGGTTTCCTCGTTGACTTTGCTTGTCTGAAGTTCTCAAGAAGTGGTGGATCACGTCATCTTCAGAAGGCTGCAACCTTCCGTCATAAATATGAACCAATTGAATCTTAAGTGTTCGAATTGTGATTGAGGTAATCACGGGAATGCTGCCACCGTCCTAAATGTGAAAAACAGTCCTCGGTCTCCTTTTTTCCATCCCGTTGTAACTTTTGACGGTCACTAAACGAACTGTTGTAAGTCGAGGACTACCTATGAATTCCGAACTGAGGCTCTCCTCGGGATAATTTTTAAACCCCCGAATAAATATCCGTGTGAATTGCAATCCCACTGGTATTTCCTGTAACTCTTAACGCAGAGGTCTTCAAACTTGGCGGTTTTAAGACTTGTGGACTTCAACTCTATTATTATGAACACGCTCTGATGCTAAGGAGTTCTACTCCCCCTCCCCACCTGAAAAGAAATCTGTTCCAAATGCAAAACACAAGCAGAGGAGAGGAGTTGAAGTCCACCAGTCTTAAAGCCGCCAAGTTTGAAGACCTCTGTCCTAGTGCCTGCTGCTTGCAAGCAACGTGGCTTCTCGGCCTCCTGCACGGTTGCATATTTGCCTTTTTTCTCTCCCCCTCCCCCCCCTCCAGACCAAGAAAGAAGCCACGTACACCTGGCGGATTGAACTGGCCAAAACGGAGAGATACTGGGAGGGCTGGTTCAGTGGTCTCTCCAACCTCTTCCTCAATTGCCCTGTTCCCAAACTGTTGCTTTTGGCAGGTAGGTGGGGCTGCCTCCCCCTCCTTCTTCTTCCCCTCCTCCTTCCAGGAATTCTTCCCTTCCCTCTGCAAAGACGGCTCTCCAACTTCCTGATGCTTATTTATTTATGTATTTATTTGTATCCCGCCTTTACTATTTTGGCAAATAATGCAAAGAGGCGAACCTATGCGGCACGCCTTCCTCCTGCTATTTCGCGTGCTCCACAACCACAATCCTAGGAGGTTGGGCGGAGAGAGAATGACTGGCCCAAAGTCACCTAGCCGGCTTTCGTGGCTAAGACGGGACTAGAAGTCACGGTCTCCCACTCTCTAGACTGGCGCTTTAACCACTAAGCCAAACTGGCTCTCACAAATTTTTCCAATATATTTTGCAGATGGGTTTACATGTGAGTATGTACAGGTAGTTCCCAAGTTACAACCATTTGGAAAGAAAGAACGAAAGAGAGGGAGGGAGGGAGGGAGGGATTGATTGATTAATGGATATTGAGTGGAGAAAGATGAATGATAGGAATGGATGAGAGAGAGAGAGAGAGGAGAAACAGATAGATGATGATAGATAGATAGATAGATAGATAGATAGATAGATAGATAGATAGATAGATAGATAGAAAAAAGGAGAGAGATAGGAGATGAGGATGGATGGATAGATGATAGATTGATAGAGAGAGATTAGATGATAGATAGATAAAAAGGGAGATAGAGATAGGAGATGATGGATGGATGGATGGATGGATAGATAGATAGATAGATAGATAGATAGATAGATAAAAAGAGATATAGGAGATGATAATGGATGGATGGATAGATAGATATAAAAAAAGAGGAGAGATAGGAGATAGAGGGATAGATGATAGATTAGATGATAGATAAAAAGATAGGAGATGATGATAATGGATGGATTGATATATTGATTAGATGATAGATAGAAAAGATATAGGAGATGATAATGGATGGATTGATTGATTGATAGATTGATTAGATGATAGATAGAAAAGATACAGGAGATGATAATGGAAGGATAGATTGATAGAGATAGATAGATTAGATGATATAGATAGATTGATTGATTCAGAAATGCAAAGAATGAATTCAAAAGTTGGCAAGAGGATTGGATTAACATATGGGGGCCTCCCTTCTTTTCTCCCTCCCGTCCTCCGACTCCCCCCGTCCTTTTCTAGGTGTTGACAGACTGGATAAAGATCTCACTATTGGCCAAATGCAAGGTAAAAATCTTCAGCTTTCCGATCTTTTTCTTCCTTTAAAAGAACTCAGTTTCTGCCCCCCAATGACTTGGCATCCAATCCCCAGCCTTCAATTCATTCATTCATTCATTCATTCATTCATTCATTCATTCATTCATTCATTCAATAAATAAATAAACCTACGGAGGCTATTTTCTGATGCATTAGCTGGATTCTCAAATGAGAAAAAGAGGCCACTTAAAGCACTGATTTCCTCAAATGTGTGTAGACGCTGAAAGAGAGCCGTGTTAGTGGCCCCAAATCATTAGTCTGGTCACCTTTTTCCAACTAACCAAGGTTATTAAAAGGTAAAGGTAAAGGTTCCCCTCGCACATATGCGTTCCCGACTCTAGGGGGCGGTGCTCATCTCCGTTTCAAAGCCGAAGAGCCAGCGCTGTCCGAAGACGTCTCCGTGGTCATGTGGCCGGCATGACTCAACGCCAAAGGCGCACAGAACACTGTTGCCTTCCCACCAAAGGTGGTCCCTGTTTTTCTACCTGCATTTTTTACCTGCTTTCGAACTGCTAGGTTGGCAGAAGCTGGGACAAGGAACGGGAGCTCACCCCGTTACGCGGCACTCGGGATTTGAACCACTGAACTGCCAACCTTTCGATCGACAAACTCAGCATTTTAGCCACTGAGCCACCACATTCCTTAAAAGGCGTTAGCTTTTTAAAAAATTATTTAGTCAGAAAAGGGGCTACAGTGGATCCTTGATTTTGATCACGTATACAGTTTCTTACTGTATTATCACTGCTACATTCTTGTGGGTACTTGTTAAGTGTGAGTTTAGGTACTCAGACTTCACAATTAATTTTTTTTAAAAAACCCCAGTCCTTTTATAGCCACGTTGGCAAGCAAAAGGGGTCCTTTCTCATCCTTTGTGTCGCACAAACACAAATTCTCTGTGTCATTACGCAAAGACACTTCACTTGCCAATTTTTTAAAAAAAATTTTGCTGCCATTTGTGTGAACTTCAACGCTGCCAATTTTGTTTTTTAATCCAGGATCTGTGAAATCACCCAGATTTAGCTGCATCCAATTATCTTGTCTCCATGTATTGTTATACATTTTAATTTTATTCATGCTTTTGAATCCGTCTTGATTCTGGGCTTGTAGTCAGTCAATCAGTCAGGTTTTTTGTTTTTATTTTTTTTATATTTTATTTATTTATTGGTTCGATTTATATATGCTGCCCTTCTCTGGAGATTCAGGGCGGCTTACAATGCGTTAAGCAATAGCCTTCATACTTTTGTATATACCTGCTTAGTAGGGCTTTCGGGCCCCCCCAAGCGGTGTTCTTTTTTATACAAAGTCAGTTTATTGCCCCCACAATCTGGGTCCTCAATTTACTTACCTTAGAAAGGATGGAAGGCTGAGTCAACCTTGAGCCTGGTGAGATTTGAACTCGCAGTAATTGCTGGCAGCTGGTAGCTAAGTGCTACTTAACAGCACTTTAGTCCGCTGTGCCACCTATATTATAATATAGTATAGTACATTTATTACATTTTTATTTATTATATTTATTTATTGTATTATTTTATTGTATTATTTATTTATTTATTTATTTTATTTTATTTTATTTTATTATTATTATTTTTTCATGACGCTCTTCTTCCCTATGTCAGGGTTCCAAGTAATAATCCCAGAGCAAGGCAAACTCCGAGGCAGGTGAATTCCTCAAAGATTACTTTTATTGGAAATATCAAATTGGCACAGAGCTGGTGAAAACCGACTCTGAAAACTCCCCCAGTTTTTCACCTCATGAAAAGTAAAAGATTTTCTACTTTCTCAAAACAATCAGTCCCACAGTCCAGTCGCTGTGCAGTCCGACAACTTGGGGGGGGGAGGCATCACTCCAGCTTCCTCCAAGCAGGTGCGAGAATGTCCTTGGTTCCCAAGAGAAAATATTTTGTTTTGCCCACAATAATCCCCTCCATCTCAAATCCCCCCTCCCTGATCACCTCAGTTGTTTCTTTCTTTCTTTCTTTCTTTCTTTCTTTCTTTCTTTCTTTCTTTCTTTCTTTCTTTCTTTCTTTCTTTCTTTCTTTCTTTCTCTTATATATTATATTATATTATATTATATTATATTATATTATTATATTATTATATTATATTATATTATTATATTATATTATATTATATTATACTATAATATTTATTTATTTATTTATTATATTTCTATACCGCCTTTCTCCCGTAGGACTCAAGGCGGTGTACAGTCAGTCAAGAAAAAATATAGATACACAAATATCATAAAATTGCTAATTAAAATTATTGTTATAACATAGTTTAACCCAATTAAATAGAACCTAAAATTAGATAACATTTTAAAAACATTCACATGTTCATGAATAGTGAAGAGTTCCAGTGGCAGCACTGAAGCGGACAAAATGGCTTCGGTCAGGCCAGCTTCAGGGTTGACACCCTACAAGGTGACCCTTATCCTGGTGATGTTTGCTGAAGTTTCTGAGCTGGGCGGGTGAAACCGACTCAAAATCACCCAGCTGGCTTTGGTGGGATCCAGGCGGGACTTGAACTCATAATTTCCCAGTTTCTAGCCCGATGCCTTAGCCACTGGCCCAAACTCGGCTCTCTTCTCCCTTCCTGTTGTTCTGCCTTCCTTGTTGTTCTTCTCCCTTCCTGTTGTTCCCTTCCTGTTGTTCCGCCAGGCCGGACTATCAACACAATAGTTTTAAATTGGGGTATTTAAATTTTTTGGGGTTTTAAATCTGAGCCAATTTATTTAATTATTTTAAATTTTATATTGTTGTTTTGTCTGTGTTTTTAAATAGGCTGTACACCGCCCTGAGTCCATGGGGAGAAGGGCAGTATAGAAATAAAATTATTATTATTATTATTATTATTATTATTATTATTATTATTATTATTCCCTGCAGGGAAATTCCAGATCCAGGTTCTCCCACAGTGCGGCCACGCAGTCCACGAGGATGCTCCGGAGAAAGTGAGTAGGGTGGTTGTTTGACTTCTGTGTGCTGGATTCCAAATTAGGTTGCTCAAGGGGGAGCCTAAGCTGGTTGTCCCCCCACAACCCCGAGGGGTGAGTCCTTCAGCCCCCCAGAATTCCCCAACCAGCAGGGCCCTTGTTTTGGTTGCCACGATATAGAAAAGACGTTGAACCATAGAAAGAGCGCAGAGAAGAGCCACTAACATGATTAAAAGGCCTGGAGACTAAAACATGCCAAGAACGGTTGTAGGAATTGGGTATGTCTAGTTTGACGAAAAGAAGGACCGGGGGTGACTTGATAGCCGTCTTCCAATATTTGAGGGGTCGCCATAGAGAGGAGGGGGTCAAGCTATTTTCCAAACCACCAGAGGGCAGGAATAGAAACAACAGATGGAAAGTAATCAAGGCAACCTGGAATTAAGGAGAAACTTCCTAAGAGTGAGAACAATTAACCAGTGGAACAGCTTGCCACCAGAAGTTGTGGGTTGCTCCGACACTCGAGGTTTTTAAGAAGAAACTGGATAGCCATTTGTCTGAAATGGTATAGGACAATGATGGCTAACCTTTTTGCCATCGCATACCAAAAGCAGGGGGGAGTGGGGGGGGTGTTGTGCACCCATGTGCCCACACCCATAATTCTATTTGCCCCCCGTGCATGTGTGCGCGACCCCCACTTTTGGCATGCGATGGCACAGTGGGCCCAGTAGGCCTGTTTTTCGCTCTCCCCAGAGCCTTTCTAGGAGCCTGGGGAGGGTGAAAACGGCCTTCCCCACCCCCACTGGAGGCCCTCTGGAGGCCGGAAACGGCCCGTTTGCCAACTTCTGGTCCCACCGGAAGGCCTGTTTTTCACTCTCCCCAGGCTCCAGAACCTTTCTAGGAGCCTGGGGAGAGTGAAAAACAGACCTCCCTCCACCCGGCGGCCAGAAACAGCCTGTTTCCTGACTTCCGGTGGGCCCAGAAGGCCCGAAAATCAGCTGGCCGGTGCACGCATGCTCGCCGGAGCTGAGCTCGTGTGCCCACCGATATTACTCCGTGTGCCACCTGTGGCACACATGCCGTAGGTTCGCCATCACAGGTATAGGATCTCCTGCTTGAGCAGGGGGTTGGACTAGAAGACCTCCAAAGTCCTTTCCAGCCCTAAGATTCTATGACATACCGTGTTTCCCTGAAAACAAGGCCCTGTCTTATATTTTTTTTGAACCCTGAAATAAGTGCTTGGCCTTATTGCCATGCCGATTGGGCATATTATCAGGGGGTGTCTTATTTTGGGGGGAAACAGGGTAGATGGATGATACATAGATAGATAGATAGACAGACAGACAGACAGAGATAGTGAGACAGACAGGCATGACTGATAGATGGTTCATGGACAGACAGATCAATGGAACTACCTCCCGGTGTTGTGGGTATTATTATTATTAATTATTATTATTATTAATTTTATTTCTATACCGCTCTTCTCCTGAGGGACTCAGGGCAGTGTACAGCCTAATTAAAAACACAAAGAAGGTGCAGAATGCAGGGTTCCCAAATGTTTGGGGAGGGTCTATCCCAGGGAAAGGGGGAGAGCCTCTTTCATTCTCCCCACCACCACCCGGTCTCTCTCTTTCAGGTAGCGGAAGCCGTGGCAACGTTCCTGATCCGTCACAGGTTCACAGAGCCCATTGGCGGATTTCAATGGTAAGGCCGGCACTGGCGGTCACACCCCACCCCACGCTGGACTTCACCGTAGTTAGTTTGGGGGGGGGGTCTTGAAATTGCCACAACCCCCCCAAGATAACAAGGGAGCTTGGAGGGACAAGGCTGGCGTGGAGGACTCTACAGGTAGTCCTCGAATTACGACCATTCATTCAGTGACTGTTTGAAATTACAGCGGCGTTGAAAAAACTGACTTACGGCTGTTTTTCACACTTATGACCGTTGCAGCCTCCCCGTGGTCACGTGATTTATATTCGGTTGGCAACTGGTTCATATTTGTGACGGTTGCAGCGTCCCGGGGTCATGCAATCCCTTTTTGCGACCTTCCGACAATAGGGAAGGCAGATTCACTTAACGACCGCACCAGTAACTAAACAACCGCAGCGATTCACTTAACAAGCGCAACAAAAACGGTCGTAAAACAGTGGCGAGCTGTCGTTTTCACAACGGTCTTAACAACAAAACTCGCTCGACAACAGAAACTTTCACGTTGAAATGTCGTAAATCGACGACAATCCGTAATCCACGATACGGCAACGCTAAATCGAGGTACGCCAGCTGACACATCTCCTCTTTTCCTCCTTTTTTCGCAGTGTTTTTCCTTGTTAATACCCCAGGCGGGCCCTTCTGCACCTCTTGTAAATAAACCAACATCGGACGCACCGTGGCATGTCCCGTCTCCGTCTCCTTCCCATTATCCGCACTGACCCATCGGCACAAATCCTGTGGCAGAGAAACCGGGTCTCGGGCACGGCTCGGGTTTTCCGTTCCTCCCGCCATTTCATCCTGGCTGAGCCACCCTCCCGTTCCTTCGTCTCTTCCTGAGATCGTCAAGAAAATCCTGGCTTGTTTCTTCCTTAACTGCTCCCGGCGGCTAATCCGGGATGTCGGGTAAACTCAGGCTTTGGGAAAAAAAATCTCGGCAAACCTTCCTCGCTTCTTCGCCCACTCCCCGCTCGTGTGTACGTTGCCACTGTTTTCCGACAGCTGAGGTTTTATTCTCCCACGCATGAAGGGGGGGGGCGGCCTTCCCCAAACCGGGCGCCATCCGAAACACCCGGCGCAACAGTTTCCAAAATTGCAACCCCAGCATGTCTGAACAGTGCCAGGCTGGGGTAGCCTCACCTGGCGAATTGTTTTCTCTGTGTCTGCAGTGTTTGGGCACCTTAAGACAGGGGGACTATAACTCCCAGAATTCTGGGAGTTATAGTTCCCCGGTGTCTTTAAAACCGCCGAACACACACGGCATGAGGAAGCCTGGCACAGCACAACCAGGAAAGGATGCTGCCCCTGTTGAACAACTGCCTGCTTAAATCATTTGCTGATCCTCCGTCAAACCGGTCCCCTCCCCTTTAGATCCAGATGCGGGAATGCAACCAATTTTTTCGCAGCCACAAAAGGTTTCCAGATGTTGCCCCTGGAATCACTGGCCTTCCCTGGGAGATCACAGGCCAAACGCCTTCTTCCCTCTCCAAATCTGTCAACGCTTTTGTTTGGGAACAAGGGAGAGGGGGGGGAATTGGGGGGGGGGTTGAGGAGAGGCATGATTCAGGGGCGGCTGCAGACCCCCCCCTCCCCAAAGCCTCATTTTTTTCTTTTTCCTGTTCTTCACCTCTGGTGGCCAAACCGTTTTTGGGGAGTGGTGCCTTGAATTCAAATAAAGTGGAAAGAATCTGCAAAGAAGTCTGTGTTTTTTTATTTTAATTATTATTATTACCGTCCGGCCAGATGTTCCGGCTGAATTTGGCATTTTAATCGACCTACGGCAGGGATGGCGAACCTTTTACAGACCGAGTGCCCAGACTCCCAACCCCAAAACCCACTTATTTATCGCAAAGTGCCAGTACGGCAATTTAACCTGAATAATGAGGTTTTACTGCCGAAAATAATGATAAACAAGGCAGAGTTCAGCTAATTGTGCTAAGAAAAAAGTGATGAATGCACTTTTATGCACCTTCATTTTTTTTTTTCCTGCTTTTGAAATATTAACGTTTGGCAACAATAAAGAAAGAAAAAAAAACATTTGTAATATAATTTCTCTCTTTCCCTCCCACCCTCTCTCCTTCTGCCCCTCTTTCTCTTTCCCTCCCTCTCTCCCTTTTTCTCTTTCCCTCCCTCTATCTCTCTTTCCCTCCCACCCTTTCTGTCTCCGCCCCTCTTTCTCTTTCCCTTCCTCTCTCTCTTTCCCTTTTTCTCTTTCCCTCCTCTCTCTCTCTCTTCCACCCCTCTCTCTCTCCACCCCTCTCTCTTTCCCTTCCTCTCTCTTTCCCTCTTTTTCTCTTTCCCTCCCTCTCTCTTTCCCTCCCACCCTCTCTCTCTTTGCCCCCCTCTTTTTTTGCTCCCCTTTGCCCCCTCTTTCTCTTTCCCTTCCTCTCTCTGCCTCTCTCTCTTTCCCCTCTCCTCTCTCCTCCCTCCGTCCCTCCCTCCTCTCTTCCACCCTCTCTCTCTCCGCCCCCTCTTTCCCTTCCTCTCTTTCCCTCTTTTTCTCTTTCCCTCCCTCTATCTCTCTTTCCCTCCCACCCTTTCTGTCTCCGCCCCTCTTTCTCTTTCCCTTCCTCTCTCTCTTTCCCTCTTTCTCTTTCCCTCCCTCTCTCTCTCTCTTCCACCCTCTCTCTCTCCACCCCCTCTCTTTCCCTTCCTCTCTCTCTCTTTCCCTCTTTTTCTCTTTCCCTCCCTCTCTCTCTCTTTCCCTCCCCCCCTCTCTCTCTTTGCCCCCCTTTTTTTGCTCCCCTTTGCCCCCTCTCTTTCTCTTTCCCTTCCTCTCTCTGCCTCTCTCTCTTTCCCCCCTCTCCCTCTCTCTTTCCACCTCCCTCCTCTCTCTTTCTCTCCCTCCCTCCCCCCTGGGGCGGGGAAGGAACCCATGAACTGGTGCTGAGTGGTGGTAATCCCAGGAGCAGCGTGCCGACGATCAGCTGGTTGGCAGAGAGCCGAACACCAGCTGTGAGGCGGGGGCATCACAACACCGGGAGCTCTGCAGGAAAACTGAGTGGGAGGCGGAAGCGAGCCCATGGTGGCGCAGGGTCGCATTGCGACTCGGCGTCGTAATGGGTTCCAGGAGGAGGGGACCCTGTCTCCCCTATTGGCGAGACAGTGAGATATGTGATGGAGAAACGTGACGGAGAAACGTGATGGACCTGCGCTGGGGCGTCACCACGCGTGCCCACAGAGAGTGCCACCTCTGGCAAGTGTGCCATAGGTTCTCCACCACTGACTGGAATAAAAATGTTTTGAGGGCGCGGCGGAAAGTGCATAAATCTGGGATCCTCCGTATCTCCGGGGGGAGCTCGTTCCAGATGGTAGGTGCCCCCACAGAGAAGGCTCTCCCCCTGGGGGCCGCCAGTCGACACTGTTTGGCCGACGGCACCCTGAGGAGGCCCACTCTGTGTGAGCGTACTGGCCGGTGGGAGGCTACTGGTGGCAGAAGGCGGTCTCGTAGATACCCCGGTCCGATGCCATGGAGCGCTCTAAAGGTGGTAACCAAAACCTTGAAGCGCACCCGGAAGACCACCGGGAGCCAGTGCAGCTCGCGCAGGAGGGGGGTTCACATGGCAGCGCCACGCCGCTCCCATAGCCACCCGCGCGGCTGCGTTCTGGACCAGCTGGAGCCTCCGGGTGCTCCTCAAGGGGAGCCCCATGTAGAGAGCATTGCAGTAGTCCAGGCGGGAAGTGACGAGGGCATGAGTGACCATATTGAGCGAGTTTATTTATTTGGAAATTCTATTGCCGCCTATTCACACATGGCGACTGAAGGCGGCTTACAAGGATATAAAACCTCACGTGAAAACAATAAAACTAATCAAAAGACAGGATCATCTAATAAATTATTAAAATAATAAAATAAAATAATTGAAGCCTGAACAACTTGGAAGGTGTTTCGGTTGAGAAGCCCTTGACTGGAGGGGTCCTTGGTGCTTTCTGAGCTTCAATCAATCAATCAAGAATAGAGCTAGGAGGGACCTTGGAGGTCTTCTAGTCCATCCCCTGCTCGAGCAGGAGACCCTATACCCGTGATGGCGAACCTATGGCACGCGTGTCACAACTGGCCCGCAGAGCCATATCAGCGAGCATGCAAGTACAGCTCTGGTGCACATGCGCACGCCGATCAGCTGATTTTCGGGCATTCTGGGCACACTGGAAGTCGGCAAACAGGCTGTTTCTGGCCTCCGGAGGGCCTCTGGGGGGGGTGGGGAAGGCAGTTTTCGCCCTCCCCAGGCTCGTAGAAAGGCTCTGGAGCCTGGGGAAGACGAAAAACGAGCCTATCAGGCCCACCGTGCCATCGCATGCCAAAAGCAGGGGAAGCACGGGTGTGTGTGTGTGTATGTGTGGGGGTGGGGCGCATAGAATTATGGGTGTGGGCACGCATGCACCCAACACCCCCCCCCCGGTCCCCCCACTTTTGGCACGCGATGGCAAAAAGGTTAGCCATCCCTGCCCTATTCCATTTCAGACAAGTAACGGTCCATTCTCTTCATTAAAACCTCCAGTGGAACATTTACAACTTCTGGTGGCAAGCAGTTCCACTGGTTAATTGTGCTCACTGTCAGGAAATTTCTCCTTAATTCCAGGCTGTTTCTTTCCTTGATTGGTCTCCATCCGTTGTTTCTTGTCCTGCCTTCAGGTGCTTTGGAAAATAGCTTGACCCCCCTTATTTTCTTACAGACAATAAGTTGACGTATAACAATACATAATAAGTATAGAGAAAACAAGTTGACCCACCAATTTTCTTACAGACGTTTCGTTTCCCCAAACATCCTCAGTGCTAGAAGGGAGTGGGGTTTGCAGAGAGGAGGAAGAGGAAGAGGAGGGCTATGTGGCTGATGCTGTCTGAGCTGAGTTTTCTTGCAGACGTTTTGTGACCCAACTAGGTAACGTCATCAATGCTGGAAGGGAGTGAGGTTTGCACTTGATGATGTTCCCTCGTTGGGTCATGAAACATCGGCAAGAAAACAACCCAGATCAGAGACCACCCAAAGCCTTACAGTCCCCCTCTTCATGATTCACTTAGCAACTGCAGTGACTCACTTAACAACGGTGGCAAAAAAAAAGGCCGCAAAAGGGAACACGACTCCCTTAAGAACCGTTTTGCTTAGCAACGGAAATTCCAGGCTCCGTTGTGGTCATCAGTCAAATACTGATGACCACAAGAGCCTTGGTGGCGCAGCAGACTAATAGCCTGTTATTAACATTCAGCTGCCTGCAATTACTGCAAGTTCGAATCTCACCAGGGTCAAGGTCGACTCAGCCTTCCATCCTTCCGAGGGAGGTAAAATGAGGACCCGGATTGTGGGGGCAATAAGCTGACTTTGTATAAATATACAAAAGGATGAAGGCTATTGCTTAACGCATTGTAAGCCGCCCTGAGTCTCCGGAGAAGGGCGGCATATAAATCAATTTTTTTTAAAAAAATACTATCTTTAGTCACTTTCAGCCCTTCGTGGGCACATCCCATAATATCCCAACAGCTGTCCGGCTCTTCCTGCACCTCGTTTCGGGGCAGCAGTTGTGACAAAGACACTTCTATTGTCTTGCACACCCAAGTGTGTGCTTCTCCTTTGCAGTCCAAACAGTTTTTATTTATTTATTGTTTATTTATTGGTTCGATTTATATGCCGCCCTTCTCCGGAGACTCAGGGCGGCTTACAATGCTTTTTAAGCAATAGCCTTCATACTTTTTGTATATACCTGCTTAGTGGGGCTTTCACCCCCCCCCCCCCAGCGGTGTTCTTTTTTATACCAAGTCAGCTTATCGCCCCCACAAACTGGGTCCTCATTTTACCTACCTCGGAAGGATGGAAGGCTGAGTCAACCTTGAGCCTGGTGAGATTCGAACTCCCAGTAATTGCAGGCAGCTGGTGTTACTTAACAGTGCTTTAGTCTGCTGCGCCACCAAGGCTCTTTTTTCCCCAAACTATCAATCCTCAAAAGTTAAATAAATAAAATTTGGACACATCTGGAGCCTCGGTGCTCTAACAATCTCTGTGTCGAGGCTTCTGCAGGGGGGGGGCAGATATTCACATTTTCTTTGCACACCCCCGGCGCAGCTGCAAGATGCATCCTCTTCGTTGTCACGTCCCGCAGAGCCCCCTTAGGGGTCGCTATTCTTCCGGGTTGGTGCCGCACGGCCTGTGGAACTCCTGCCCGTGTTCGTGGAACCACTTGTTGGCCACTGCGGAGAGAGGAGGCGTAGGAAGGATCAGGAGGTGGCCGTGGGTGCCTTGCGCCCATTGGCAAAGTTGCCATCATTATAATTTACACCAGGTATTATTTACATCATTATAACAGGTAGTCCTCGACTTACGAACCACAATAGAGCCCCAGATTTACACTGCTAACGGAGCTCAGTGGGGTTTTGCCCTGTTTTACGACCTTTCTTGCCACAGTTGTTAAGGGAATCGCTGAAGTTGTTAAGTGAGTAACACGGTTGTTAAGTGAATCTGGCTTCCCCATTTACTTTGCTGGTCGCAAAAGGGGATGACATGACCCCGGGAAGGTCATAAATAGGAGTCAGTTGCCAAGTGTCTGAATCGGGTGGGTTCTAAATTTTTTTACTACCGGTTCTGTGGGCGTGGCTTATTTTGTGGGCGTGGCTTGATGGTCAGGTGACAATTATTTAGGATTTAGCAGAGGTACTGGTCTACCAGGCTTTTAACTGCTTGCAGATCTGTACTGATCTACTCATGTAT